AAAAGTTGTAGTTGAAAGCAGAAAAACTAAGATGTTCAGGATTAGCTTCTCAGGAGCCAGATATTTCCTAAAGTACAGTGACCAAAACAGAACTACAACGAGAGTCTCAGATCTTTCATGTTCCCACAAACTAATGCTAATTTTGCTATGTTCTTGCTGGATGTGTAAACAGAAAACTGTAAATGGAGTTACTGAAATAAGCAGTTCTTCAAACACATTAGTTAGTGTGTGTGTGTGTGTGTGTGTGTGTGTGTGTGTGTGTGTGTGTGTGTGTGTGTGTGTGTGTGTGTGTGTGTGTGTGTGTGTGTGTGTGTGTGTGTTCTGACCTGTTTTGTTACTTGCCGCTGAGCTGACATTCATTGGCAGGGAACTCTTCCTCTCCGGTTCCTCCTGATGACAGAGAGCAGCACACTCAGTTATAAATTATGTGGCGGAAAATGTGTGGGGGTGTAACTGTTAACACATGGAGGCCAAAACAGGATGTACCACCATCACATCCAACAGCACCTGCATCTGAACCATGTCATTTTAGACTGAACCAAAACCTAAACCCCATGTCAGCATATTGGATAAACCAGTCACAGCCCTAGTGTTAAAGGGATATTTAGATATTGTAATATTATTGTATGAGGTACTTAACCATGGTGGACGAGCTAAAGCGGTAAAAATAGCTTTTGACTGAACCGATAAAGGTAAACAATAAGTCATTGTTGTATTTTTGTGTGATTTCTGTTGTTGTTTATCGTGTTCTGCTGCAAATCAAATTCCTACTAACAAGGACAATAAAGATGAACCGAACTGAACTTCTTTCCCTGTCACTTGGGGAAATGTGTCCACATAAAAGACAAATCCAAACACACATATTACCTTCCTGACAGAGACCTCATCGAGGGAGTTGTCTTTGTAGATCTTCTGTTTCTGTTTGGCCAGCGAAATCCAGCTGGGAGACTCAGAGCCAGCAGAAACACCCCGAGCTGCAGCTGGATCTGAATCAATACACAGCAGAGACACTGTTACACCACAGCTCAAGTCTTTGGGATGCTGTAAGCATTGCCACATAGTTTATGGAAAATAAAAAGTGTGTTTATGTGTGTGTACAAACCTGTCATGCGCTTGTTTTTCCCTCCACTGTCTCCTTGTACGTCTGGTTTCTTAGGGAGGGCGGGCTTGTTGCTGATAGGCTGACTTATGGAGGGCTTAACACTGATTGGCTGCGGAGACTCAACTCTACAGCTGGTTGGCTGAGCTGAAGGCTCCATGGAAGGCTGAATAAGATAAAAATAAATACAACGATTCAATACAAAACGTATTTTACACCTGCATTCAATACTTTTTTTGTCCACTTGGGGTCAGCAGAAACACGCAAGTAATCAGTTATTATTTACACATCCAGGATATAGGGGGCAAAATAAGTCTCAAATTTCTTCCCGTTAAGTGGGTATGACACGTTAAATGTTAAATGAGACACAGTTTCGTGAAAAGAAAGGTTAAGAACCTGAGTCAATATTCTGAGATATATTATCATAAGTCATTTTTCTAAGAAAGTTTTTAAATATAATGACTTTTCAGGGTTTTTGGTTTATTTTCCTTTACTGGCGTAAATGGGCCCCCATTATTTTAAACTCTGCTTTTGTTTTGTTTTTCCAAGAAAACCTAAAAGCTTATACCCTAACAAAACAATTAGTTTAAAGACGCAAAATCGCTTCTTAGTACCGAGGGAAACTGCAGTGTATAGTGACAGTTCTCTGTGGGTTGGTCACTATGAGCACCACCTTTCATATACAATTTGTTATTTGATCTATTGTTAAATATGACTTGTAGCTGCCTTAATACACTAAAACACCTTTGATGATGCATTTTGGTAACTTGTAGTTTCCTGGATTAAGTTAAAACAACTTCAGATCGGAAGCCAATTTTCCAAAAATTGGCAAAATAGACTAAGTATCTAAACTAATGATAAACTTTTATTTTAAGTCATCATATTAACCTGTTAAGCCCTGAGCCTGTTTTCCAGGTCTCAGGCTTGAAAATGACATTCCCAGAAGAAATGACTATATCTTCACTTCTAAAAGGGGTAAATTAATAACCAAAGATAAACCTGTGAGTTGGATGTAGAAAAGTCAGAATCAATATAGATGGTTTTTATTTTAAAGTAAATTCAGAAGAAAAAAATGTAAATGATAGTGTCCGTCCAACAAAAAAAACATTACTTATAGTGAAAACCACCCTTGAATGATGGGTTAGTAGACTAAAAGCGTTAGGAATCCAAACTATAACATATAATAAGTACCCTGTATCAAGATTGATACAAAACAAGTGACATTTGACCTTTTTAAAGAGATTTTAAAAAAACGAAACACTTCTGGGGTCATTTGGGTGGATTTGCCAAATCTCTGGGCCCCTCGTCGATTTTGATGATTGACACCTCTTTTTAACCGTTAGAGCCAATAGAATCGAGGGGAAGTTCCTAAAATCCATCTAAACATTACCCATTGGTGAATGAGTGATGCGCAGCCAGAATGCCCCTGAACCGGAAGCTGCGATACACTCTGATGGCT